AGGCAGCCGGCATACAGAGAATTAACTAACTCTGTTACATGATGGAACAGGATTCAAACCCATGCATCCTGGATCCAGTCTGTGCTCTTAACCTCCATGCTTTGCTGAGTCTCGATATGACATTATAATGAGTTCACAGTTTTTCAGGAACCTTGGATGTTTTAGGTGGGCAGAGTCTCTGTGAGATCTGCATGGTCCTTGGCAGTCTGGGAGGGCAAGGCCCTTCACATAGTGCCCTCTGTAAGTGCAGGAAACTTTGGGTTTAATTCCAGACCCCTTTTCCATATGGCACCTGAAGTCCCTTTGAACATCTAAACTTCAGAGCCACATAGATTGTCCACTTGTCTTATTCTACAGGGTCCCCCAGATTTGTGTCTTGACCAAAGCTCCTGGCCAACTGAGAGCTTCCCATAGAACCTTTCTCTCTCTCTCTCTCTCTCTCTCTCTCTCTCTCTCTCTCTCTCTCTCTGTCTCTGTCTGTCTCTGTCTCTGTCTCTCTCTCTCTGTCTCCCAGATCCTTCATGCATGGATGTATCCAGGCTATCGGTGTTTCCACATTTACTATGTGGCCGGCACTGAGCTAATTACTGGGGATATAGCCATCACTGGATCAAAGTTGGCACCTTCTCAAAAATATCCCAGAGGTAAAGCCTAGTGGGTAGCACAGTCTGTCCAGTAGTAAAGCCAGGCTCCATGTGCTTTGCATGCTGCCTACGTGTGTAGCATTCAGCAGCTGTGTGCGAGGGCCTGTGGTTTCCTTTTACAGGTGAACACTTTATAACAGTTTTACATCAGTAAAACTTTTCATCAAGTGCTTTGTCTCCTTTTTCCTCTCTTCCCTTGCATTCTACTCCAGAAGTGACGCATCCATTTAGTGTGTGCATTTCCAGATCTTGTAATGCATTTGTAAGCAAATATGAATATACTTCATTTATTTATAATTGCACAAAATAGTTATTCACTGAATTCTTACTGGTGAGTTGGTGGGTGCTGGATGGATATGGGTAAATGGGTGAGTTTCGTGTGTTTTCTCCCGTTTCTCTCTGATGCCTGTTCCTAGACAGTGTTGCTAGGCAGACAAGGAGAAGGACATCCCTGGCTTCCTGTTGCTTCCTGTGAACCACACTGACTGGATGTGGATGTGAGAGTTTGCCGTCTGTGTGGTCAGTTTGGGCTACCGAAGACCGTAGGCTGGGTAACTGCGACAGTGGTACTTTCCCACAGTTGTGAGAGCTGGGAAGAAGATGCCAGCATGGTAGATTTCTGGTGAGATCTCTCTTCCTGGCCAGCAGGACAGCCACCTTCGCACTACATCTTCATACAGCAGAGAGCAAGAGAATATGAATCATTGCTTCTTACACATACATCGATCTTACTAAATTAGGACCTCACCCTCATGGTCGCACTTCATCTCACATACCCGGTCACTAGAGTCACTTAGGTGTTAGGGCTGCACCGTGAGAACTTTTTTGAGGACACATTGCCTGTACCATTGGCCCCGATGTCTCAGGGGGCTCGCGTGTAAAGCTGGGCTGCTCGCTTGCCCCTAGCACAGGCCGTTGTCCCCAGTGGGTGCTCGCCAGCGTGTTTGTTGATGTGTGCATTTCTGAGAGTAGAACTGCTTGCTCTGCGACTTGAGGGAAGCTCAGGGCCTCCCGATGGCCTCCATCCCTAGCATTCCATTTGAATTAGTGAAAATTTCAACCACCACTTTGTGAATGATTCCAGATGTGCAGGCTTGGGGAGAGCAAGATAGCTGGAAAGCCAACTTAAAATTGAAAGCTAAATTTTGCTTGGGGTGGGGGCCAGTTACTATCCCCTCTCGATCCAGGATGAGGGACAGTACCAGCATGGGCTGCCTTGAATTTGTTAAAATGGGGTTGAGTACCAGACCTATGCCTTGATGAAACAGGGGCCATGCTAAACCCAATTAATTAACCCTGTCCGTTGGCTCAAATCTCTGTTGGTTTTAAGGGCTCAGAAGGATAAAAACCAGAGGAAATAGACTCTGTACAGAGTTACTGAGATGAGACAACTGTGCGCTTGGGGATTTGAAGGCTTTCAAAGGAGAAAATGTCAGAGGCCCACACAGATTCTGTTGTGGGGACTGCGAGTCTCTGGAGGATGCTCTGAGACCCTTTTCTGTAGTACTTCAGATGCCAGGATGAAAGAGTGTGGGAGTCTGGGCCAGAGCTTTAGGGTTGATGGCCTGGACGCTGCTTGAGGAGGAAATACTGAGGGGAAATGAGCTCCTGGCTGGATATGGTAGGAATGCCTGTAAGGCAGTCCAAGCATGAGGACTGCTGGTGTTACACAGAAAGAACTGCCTGCTCGATAGGGTGGGACCACGTGGCAAATGACTGCGGAGTTAGGTCTTTAATAAGCAGGGAGTTGTTTGAGAGGGAGCAAAAGACCAGGCGGTGAGGCTGGCTGCCTGCTTTCCTGTGGGTTGACTTAGGTCAGCCGTGGATGTGGACTTAAGGACGGTTGTTAGCATGAGAAGTTCCTATCAGGAAGCCACAGTGTGGAAAATCACTACATCATCAGGCAGTGGGAAAGAAGATACCAGAATGGTTAGAATCCTGGACCTCATGATCAGACAACCTCTAGCACTTTTTGTAGGCAAATTCTAACTCTCAAACCCCATCTGTAAAGGTGAATCAAAATAGTACAGTCAGCCCACCATAGCCACAGTCAGACTCAATCAATGATGGCTGGAAAAAAAAAATTTTTTTTTTAGCAGTTGCTTTTCACTGAATTTTCTACAGACTTTTTTATTATTTCTTCAACAATACGTATAACAGTTTAATAGCATTTGCATCATGTTACATATTATGAGTAATCTAGAGACAATTTAAAGTGTATGATATATCTATAGGTTGTATGCTTGTACACCATGGCGTTTTATGTAAGGGACTTTAGGATCTTTGGGAGGTCCTTGGAACTAGTCTTCTTTGGTTACCAAAGGATGACTTTCATGTACCTATTAGGACTATTGAAGGCCTGAATGAGAAAATATTTGGAAAGGCTGGCTGAGCTGATGGCAAATGCTTAATAATTATCACAGCTACCCAACACAATTTGTGCCCTTATAAGAACATTTTTACTTCTGTTTTTCAAGTCAGAAAGGATAGACCCCTGGAGGGGGAAAGAAATGGAACACAGGGACAATAAATGGATTTTGGCTGAAGTCACACAGAAGTGAGCCTAGGAGTGTTTTCCAGATTAGGGAGGGGAATTGAACAACATAGGGTAGGATGGCTGAAATAAAGAAAAAGAAAGAAAAGAAGTGAATTTTATATCCTTGTTACTCTAACTATCACTAGCCACTGGGTGCAGTGTCCCCTGACGGGATTTCATGGACATAGGTGAGCTGACTCTGCTTTGTGGAATCACTGGACACATTGTCACAATCAGCAAAGTGAATGTCACAGTGATACAAGAATTAAATGTACCCGGGCAAGGTGTCACATGCCTGTAATCTCAGCTAATTGGGAGGCTGAGGCAGGAAGATTGCAAATTTTAGGCCAGCCGGGGCAATTTATCAAGATCCTGTTTCAGAAAACAAAACAAAACAAAACAAAGCAAAACAAAGCAAGGGCTGGGGATATGGTTCAGCATTCCCTAAGCACAATCCCCAGTACTGTGGAGGAAACAAAATAAAACAAAAACACTGCAGCAAATGCAGCACAGAACTGATTCTGTCCAGTTGAAAGCTCAACAGAACTTTATCTCTGACAGAATTTACGTGCCCATTTCTTGTACTGTACTGTTCTAGGTTCTGTATCAATTTGTAGCCTGATCCTTGAATTTAGTCCCATTTTGGGTAAATGATGAAGCCGTTCAGAAAGCCCTATTGATATCCCAGAAAGAAAGAGAGATACCAGGTTGGAGCAGTGAGTTTTCTAAAGGGAGACAGACACAGAAGAAAAGGACCCAGCAGAAACGAGAGGGGCGAGAGGGAAGCCGTGGTTTTGGCTTGGATGATCAGAAAGTCCTTTCAGCAGAGTTTGGGCATGGTGAGAAATTTTGGCCTCTCACATTTTTAAGTGTTTAGGAATCTGCTGCAGAGATTGCTCATACCCTAGACCTCCTGACCCAGCATGTTGGGTGGGTTCAGGAACCTGTCTTTCTTTTCTTTTATCTTTTTATTGTATTGGTAATCAAACTCAGGTGCTTGCCAGGCTGTGCCTCTGAGCTATATCCCTGGCAGGACCCTGTCTTTATGTATATATCTTTTTATTGGTACCGGGATTTGAACTCACATCCGCCTGCTTGCAAGGCAGGTGCTTATGCCACTGAGCTAAATCCCCAGCCCTAGAGCCTGTCTTTCTAGTAGGCACCCTGGAAAACAGCTACTGGTGTTCACAAAGCATACCTTGAGAAGTGCTGGACCAAGAAAACATGTATCTTGGCTTTGTATCGTCCAGAAAGCAGGGGGTGAGGCCAGGGCTAAGGTGCTCATGCTCATCTGGGATGTGAACTCCCACCGTGGGGGTGAGGGTGGTGCAGGAAGATGCACAGGATGCACAGATGTCACAGGTTGGCTCCCATTTCAGAATAAGCCATGAAGGATCAAGCAGGTCTCTGCACGTGAGGTTCCTCAGACACCTGCAGAGAGGAATCGTATCTCAGCCTAGGTAAACCAAAAAAGAGGGCTAATTTAGGAAATAACCACCCCATTTTTTAGCATCGGGCCACCCGTCCCCTTGGGAATCCAGACTTCAGAGCCCTAAGAGTGGAAGGCAAATTGGAAATGGCCAGTGGGAAAGAAAGGAGCAGAGGAGGGTGTGTGAGAAGATGCACAGGTTGGTTTCCCAATGTGATAAGGAGGTCAGGCTGGTAAAGATAGATTCTTGGCATCCATGGCGAATCGTAGATTTAAAGCTCAACATTAAGAAGAAAGAAATTTCTAACTAGAGTTATATGGTGCTAAGAAAGGAAGCTTGGAATTTACACTCATGGTAAATGTGTTTCAATTTTTCTTTATTTCTCTCCAGAATGACTTCCAGTAACTGTAGACGCTGATGATCAAATGGTACACATGGGCAGTTAAAGATTTTTGCAAAGGAAGGCTGCATAAATTTAAGGTATCTCTTGTTTATTTTATATCCTGGATTAACTTTCCACCTTCTCAGTCCAAAGTCGTAATAAAAGCTTCACTAGAGAGCAAATGAGTTTGTGAATCTCATCCAAACTCTCAAGCTCTTTCTCTGAAGACCTGTAAGTTCCTATGATACTCTAAAAGGAATATAAAAATAATAATTGTAAGTATTACGAGTTCCAACTGCATACTGGGTTCCAGAGAATAATAACCTTGTTTCACGTTTGCAGGAAGCTTTCCATCTGTGTGTTACCAGAGCTTGGCTAACAGTATACACTGGCAAATGCATTAATCTGTCATAGAAATAGGAGAAATTTAGTCACAGGAGGTGAAAATAACTGATCATGTCATATAAGGAGTTGGCAAGGAATAGATCGTTAGACTTATTTTCTACTACCACCCTGAACCATTTAAAACTACTTCAAGTAGTCCAGGTGCAGTGGTGTGCAGTTGTAGGCTGAACCATTTGGGAGGCTGAGACAGGAGAATCATTCGAGCCCAGGAGTTCAAGATGAGCCTGGGTGACATAGTGAGCCCCTGTCTCTAAAATAAAAATATTTCAAGTGGCTGTAAGATCTGATCTTAAGAAGAAATAATCTCTTGGCCATCATAAAAATGTTAACTCAGTTGTGAGAAATTGATTTTTAGTTTTGTATATTTGCTAGTGGTACAGTATAAAGAACTCACATCTATTTTTAGTATAATCAAACTGAGGATGGGGAAGCAACTGTTATGGTTTGGATTAAAACCATCCCAGCAGACTCAGCATCTGGAGGTGGAGCGTGTGGAAGGGACCTAACCTCATCAGTGGATTAGACTACTGACGAGTTCAAAGCTAAGTGAACAGTCAGGAGGCAAGATCCATCTGGAAGGAGTAGGTCACTGGGGACGTGCTTCTGAGGAAAGATCTTGTCCCTGGCCTGTTTCTTTCTGGCACTCTTCCTGCTCTCTCTTTCCTGGCTACCTCTTGGTGAGAAGCCTTTCTCCGTCATGCCCATCTGCTGTAATGTTTCTGCCTTGGAGCCAGCCAAATCCCTGAAACTGTGAGCCCAAACAAACCTTTCCTCTTTTAAGTCATATGTCTCAGGTATTTTGTCCTAGTAACAGAAAGGTGACTATTACAGCAACCGAAAGGCAAAATGGTGACTAGGAAGAAATGAGATGCTAGTGTCAACCAAAGAATGGAAGGAAGGAGAGAGATTGTCATAGGAACAGAAGGTCGTGTATGGAAGAATTGGTTAAAAGAGATTTGCCATACACAAAGATAACTATTTCCTTGGCTACATCTTTGAAAAGAGGTTGATTATCTGCTATTGGACCTGCAATGTTCAAAATGCTTTACTGAGTCACAACCATGTAGAGAGCACTGAAACTGTGAAGGGAAGGAGAGTTTGTCTATGGGTTGCCTTGTGACATCTTCCCTCTGAGGGCCTTGGTGTACACACCTGTTCAGAGAAAGATGGCAAAGGTCGCTGAACAGGATGCTTTGTCCCTACGGTCTCTTCCAGCTCTAGAATTCTTTGATTCTGAGCCAAGATCTCTGAGACTCCGCAGAGATTATACAAGTATGTTCTTTCTAGGCTGGATTCCTGTAGAGTGGGACAGTTGTTTTAACTTCCTGCCTCTCAATCTTATTTCTACCAGATAGGATGATTTTTGTTGCAACCTGATAGAAAACTTAATGGAAGCCAATTTAAGCATAGGAGGAAATCTTTGGCTCACCATGCAGCACTAGAATGTCCTAAGGAGATTTTCTCAGGAATGGCTTGCTCCAGGACCTCAAATACTGTTTGAGTTTTCCTCTTTCTCTCCTGAGCCTACTTTCCTTGGGATGTATCCATTTTCAGACCTGCTCTTTGCTACAGCAGTAAGGTGACTGCTGTGGCTCAAACATCACCTTTTCATCTAGACACGGATTGAGATGTTTCCCCAAGTATGCGCTGCCATGCACATCCTGGAAGTCAGGATGACGGCACTGATTTGGGTCCAGTGCCCATCCTTGAGCCAAAAATTATGGCTGGAGGGATTAAAGTGGCTGGTTGGTCAAGACTGGGCTTCTTGTGCCTTCTGGAGCCTGAGGGGTAGCCTGTCTGGGCCCTGAGCTCTGGAATCTGGAGCGGCATTACTGCAAGGCAGGAAAATGGATTCTGAGCAGCTAAGATCTGATTCTGGGTAGGTCTATGGGAGGGGCAGGAGGTTCCGATTTAAAAGAAAAAAAAAAAAAAAAAGAAAGAAAAAGAAAAAAGAAAAGACAAGGACAGCAGGACAAGAACAAATTTCAGTTCAGAAACAAGTTTCGGATTGAATGACGTGGCCCGGGTAGCTTCTTCCTGCCCTTTGTTCTGGGCGTGAATTGGGGATTTTTGGATCACTCTGGTACATAGTTCCTTCCAGGAGATTACAGGGGGGAAGCGCTTCACTTCCTGTTTAGGATTATGCTCTTAACCCTCCCTCCCACGCAGGCCATATGTTCATCCTAAACCTCAGCAGCCAGCCAGAAAAACCCTTTGTGTTTTCTTGGCAAAACTAGGGCCCAGTAATTAAAGTCCATATGCAAAGCTGCTACCTCCAGTGCACACCAAGGTCTTTTAATTAGTATGTAATTGGTCAAAGAGGTACTATCAAACAGCTCCCCGTCTGGCCGGCTGAAATGCAGTGTTTGAAAAGTCCCAGACCAGAGAGGGATAATAAATGCTTTAAGTCCCATCTGTTAGAATGATTTGTTTAAGGTATAAATTCCTGTTCTGTTACTATTTTTACAAATTCTGCATGTAGCCTTTCTTCAAATACCATAACAACTACCAGAGTATTCCTTGGAGGTACAGAGTGTGAGGAAGTGAACTAGGAGCGCACTTAGGAAATCCATGTGTTTCCCTTCAAAGAAATTCCTGTATCACAGTGGGGGTGGGGAAGGAAGAGTTGGGTGGGACATTTGGTGTGAGCCTCACGTCAGGCCTCTGGAGTTGTGTCTTTGTGTGAGAACGATCCCCAGGGCAGGCAGCCCCTCAGCAATCCATGGGCTTTGCAGTGACCACCACTGTCATCCGCCCCCAACCTGAGACATGGGTGAGAGTTGTCTTGCCGTGAGGAAGGGCTTTGCGGTCAGTTTAGGAGACCAGGCCAGCAGCTGTGGAGAAAGAAGCAAAAGGAATGAAAAGAAGGAAATTCACTGTCCTCAAGAAGCCATGGTGGACGAAAGCGCTGTGTCCTGCCTGGCACCTCCAAGTGCCTTGGTTTTGGTGGACCTACACGTCTTGGAGGAAGGAAGGCAGGAGAAACACATGGTAGAGTCCTTTTCAGGTTCATTCAACCCTTTGGGCGAAACTGAAGTCAAAATTTAAGGCTTAAAAAACAAATTCAAGCTCAGATATAGAGTAGAATGATTGTTTTCCAGGCTGTGGGATGGTTATGAGATTGGGAGGATACTGGCCAAAGGATCCCCACTTTTATTTACAAGATGAATAAACTCTAAGGCTCTAATAGACAATATGGTTGGGACCATAACTAATACCATATTGTATGACATTTGCAAAGAGGGTAGACCTTTAGCATGCTCACCCCAAAATCAGTCAGTAGCTCTGTGAGGGGATGGTTGTGTTCACTAGCTTGATGGTAGTTCTTTCAAAGACATCAAATCATCTCCTTGTACTTTCTAAATATATACAATTGTATTTTTCAGTTATACCTCAATAAAACTAAAAGCAAACCCACTTACGGTTTAGGAAGGTGACTGTGTAACACGGCTATTTGGGAGGATGAGTTTGGATCCACCTTTGTTCCCTCTCAGCCTGGTCCAGGTGTGGGAGTGAGAGGTATTGCCATCACTCCAGGAGGGATGGAAATGGGGGTCTGGCAGGAGGGAAGTCAGGCTTGAGGCTGCTGGAAGGGCACAGCCTTGGATGGGTCTTCCTCACCATCTCTTCTTCTGACGACCCTAAGGGGTGGAGCCCGGTTCCCTCTGGGAACCTTTCCTGTCTTCTGCAGGGTCCTCATGCTCTGCCCAGAGTGCTGAGAGCTGGCCCTTCCATTGTCTGATCTGCTGTCCTCTTAGAAGACCACAAGGGCATTGGATGGAGGCCTGGGCCCACTCAGAGAAGGCCTGACTGTCCTTTTTTTTTACTATTAGCTACTTGTTCCTTTGCTCTCTTTTTCCTTCCTTTCCCCCACTTCTTTCTCCTCCTTTTTTTCTTCCTTCCATCCTTCCCACCCATCCCCTTGATGGTGCTCATACTCTCTCCGTAGCTAGACAGAACTGAGGAGTTGGCCTCAGTTTACTCCATTCTAGGATGGAGCAAGGCCTGTCTTGCTTGCTCTTCTCTCTGGTGTGCCCTGGTGGTGGCTGGCTTGGACTTGGGCCTTTCTGGCACCCCTGCTTCCTTGGTCCTCTCGAGGGAGTTCAGCCTGAGCAAGGGTGCTCAAGTTCTACCTCGAACTTGAGGCTAACCCCACCCAGTCCATACCACCAGGCCTTGCTTTATTCTTCCTCTGGGAGGCTTCATGGGGCAGGATAGCTGGTTGGTGGCTGGACTTGGGTTTTTCTGGCCAGTCCTTTCTCAGTGTCCCAGGACCCTCACCCCTCTGGAGCCTGCCTTCAGGCTCCCAGCAGTGGAGAGACTTTGTTAGGGGAGGGGTTTGGTGGGAGAGACCAGAGGAAGCCCTGCCAGTGTCCTGGGGTAACGAATAGGGATGAGGGTGCTGGAGGTGACACTGTCTGTGTAAAATAGCCTGGAAACAGGGAAAAGAGAGGCGGGATTGCTGTGGGAACTGAGAAGCAGAGGAAGTCAGAGAGGCTGGCTTCTACACAGAAAAGAGGTGATTGCTTAAAACACCACGTTTCACATAAATTAAAGGGAAGGTGGGCTTGAATCTGGAGTACGTGTTATTTGTCTGACACTTAAATCCTCACTTCTAGAATGCTTTATTTGCAAAATAACAGTTATTTCAGGCTTTGGTTATAATGCCGTATGAATAGATCTAGGTCTTGAA